AAACTTGAAAATTCCTATATGACCCTGTCTCATAAACCTCGTTGGAATGGAATCCTTCTTTTCAAAAGGTGAGAAGGAATCAATATAGTCTTCATAAGCAATATTTTCCATTGATAAACACGGTTTTGTGTCAGGATCAACCAACAGCTTTCTTCTTTTGAAAATGGGCTTAGTTTTAGAAATATTACTTTTCAAATTATTTGAGGATCTAAAGGTACTCTCAAGAGTTTTGTTTGATTTAAAACCAGGTTTGTTATCAAATTCTGAGAAACCTAGATCTCTTCTGCCCAAATTAACTTTAATCTTTTTGTAAACATTTTGAGCCTCTTGAAWTTTTTTAATTTTTAGCTCTCTGTCAAGCACATCTTGGTGCAAAAATTATCTTTCCTTTTGAAAGAATTCTTTAACATAAGTAATATTACACTTCTCATGCTCCAACTGCCTTAACTCATCCACCTTGTTTTTCAAAACTTTTTGAACCTCGGCAAACTTTTCCTTTGAAGATTTTTCTAAATTTACAAAATTAGTTTGTGCCTCTTCAAACATTTTAAAAAATMTGTTCCTTTCCTCTGTGAGTAGAATGACTTCTTTTTCACAAAGAGAAAGTTTTTCTTTTAGATTGAAATGCTCCAAATGACATGAATCGAGGTTATCGATGATCTCTGTGTATAGATCAAGAGATTCAGAAGAGTAAGAAGTAGAAACCTCTTGGTCATTTCTTKCAGAGGAGTCTGAGTTGATGTCTGCCATCCCACAGAAGAGCTCATCCTCTGTGTCCGAGTTTTCCCAAGCGAGAAGACCCTTCTGTTCATCTTCATCAGAGGACTCATCTGTTACTAGCTCACTTGATTGAGCTAGCAGAGACTTCTGCTGGTAGTAGTCAGCCTTCTTTTTGTAGAAGGCTGCATCTTTAGGACCCCTCTATGGCGCCCTTGGCCCTTTTGACCAGCAATCTGCAGCAAAGTGGCCTGGCTTGCCACATTTAAAGCAACCATCTTTTGGCTCTTCCTTCCTCTGCTCTTCTACCTTCTGCAAAGGCTTCTGCTCCTTCTCTCTTGTCTCAGATCTATCACCCTATGTAAAGTTTCTTCTGTTGAAACTTTTATACTCCTTCCTCTCTCCACCCTTTCTGAATTCTCTGGTGATCAAGGCCAGAGTTTTCATCATCTCCTTCATTGAGACTTCTTCATCAGAACTTTCATCACTTTCTGCTATCAGTACCTTGTTCTTCTTCTTCTCCTTCTCTTCCTTCTGTGCTCCTTTCCCCTTCCCAGAACTGTCGTCCTCTGCAACCAGAGCAAGTGGACCACCATAGTTTTTCTTCATTTGCATAGCTTGAGGCTCTTGGCTTTTAAGAGAACCAAATAGGTCAGCCAGAGTCCACATTTCCAAATCTAAGGTGGCCTTCATGGACATGGTTAGGTGCATCCATTCAACTCCAAGGCTCTTCAAGAATAAAGAGTTGTTGTCCTCTGCGGTTCTCATGACTCCATACCTCTTGCAGTTTCTTATCAAGGTGTTCAATCTAGAGTATGTGTCCGACAGGGATTCACCCTCTTTTGCCTTGAAGTTGTGGTATTCGTCAATGCAAATTGCTCGATTGTTTTTGAGTGTTTTCTTACCTCCTTCAATCTGTTTTTCTAGTTCTGCCCAAATGTCCATGGACAATTGACAGTGATCGATACATTTAAAGATTTCGTGAGGTATTGCCATGATTAACAATCGTTTGCACTTGCTACCCAATTCAACCATTATTTTGTCTTTGTCACTCCAGTTTGCAGCAGGTCTTGGTTCGTAATGTTCAGGAATTTCTGGGGTTGTGCCAGTAGCAGGAACTCTTGGGATTAAGTTCATTGGCACATAAGGAGGATTATAAAGAAATTCACATATCCTTGGGTGAATTTCTTCCAAAAAATTAACTATTCGCATTTTCCATTGTGGATACTCCTCACGGATGAGCGTGGGAGGTTTTGATTGAGAACCAGTGCTCATGAATGAGGTATTGGCCAGATTCGCCATTGAAAGAAGAAGAAAAATAAGAATAAGATGAAACTTATAAAATAGAGTGAAATAGGGTAACCGGAAGAAGAAGACTGGTGTTCTAGAACAAAAGCAGATTAATACCAAGAACAGAATTAATCAAATAAGAATTCGATTCCTGCTTTGATACCAATTGTTAGGACCTGTAAACTCAGTTTTGATATYAATCAAATACTCTGGATGATCTTTAAGACAATCAAAGTGTAGCGAAAACAATATAAGAACAAACAGAGTAAGAATCAAGAACACACAGTATGAGAATGATGAACACGAGAGAATAGCTTCAAAGGTTTTTCAATTGATTGAAAATAAAACGATTACAATTCGGAAGCACACTGAATTACAAAGGCCTAGCTGCTATTTATACTAGTTCCTAACGGCTTTTCTGACATGACCTAGACGTGTGAAACGATCCAAGCCGTCCAAATAAAGTCGATTACAAACATAGTCACGTGAGAAGCACATGCAGCTAACTACCTAAGTAAAACAGTAAGAAGAGGTTCTCCATAGAAGATGAACCGCAGACCTTCTGTGTGCCATCCCAGAGGCTCTACTGCATATGACTTGTAAGCTCTTGATAACAGAGGACCATTTTCCAGAACCTCTGTGAGAGACAACAGAGGTTCTGTCAATCTTGACTTGTATGATCAAACAGCTTCTGTTGCTGGTCCTCTGTTGTCTTCTGTGGAAGAAACCCTTCTATCAACACTTGCAGAAATCTTTTTCATACTTTTACATTAAGCAAATATTGGAGCTAACAACCTTGGTTTGAGTTATCTTCGTAAAAAAATGACATTTCCTGCAATAATAAAAAAATGAGTTATCTTCGAAACTTTAAGTCTTTTGCACGATGTAGTAATAAAATGAAAATTCATCATTATTTATAGGGTAATTTTTAGTAACTAAGAGTTAGTTAGGAGTTAATTTTTATTAATTAGGAGTTAGTTAGGAGTTAATTTTTATTAATTAGTATTAGTTATTGAGAGAGGGTTTTAAGAGGACGTGTTTGTTTGGGATAAATAATCAGATACTTTATTCAAAGTCAAAGCCATAAGAAATATAAAAAGGTTGTTAAAATCACGAGGCAACTTGGGAAATTAATTCAAAGTCAAAGTCATAGGAAATATAAAAAGGTTGTTACAATCACAAGGCAACTTGGGAAATTAAAAAAAATGATGGGGTAGGTGGGATGCAAACTATAGAACCCAAGAAGTTTATGCAAAACACGTGAGAACAAGAAGAGAGAAGGAGGGTTAGGGGCCGTTCACCGAATGCTTACGTAGGTAAGCACTTACCAAGTTACGTTACTTTACCGGATGAATATGGTAAAGGCCAAGAATCTTACCCGATAAGAGCGAAACAAAGACCGAAAGTCTTACCCGGTAAGTGAGAGTGACAACTCTTACCACGGTTAATGCTTAACGGGTAAATTGTTGCATACGATGTTGTTTTCGTATACTAAAATCTTACCCGGTAAGTAAGTGATAGTGTTGAATTTCATGGGTAAACGCTTACCGGGTAAGTGATTAGGTAAACGGCCCCTTAGATAGTTATGAAATCGATAATCATTAAATTAATTAATAAATAAAATTCAAAATATTTAAAAGTCATTATAATATTACCATTTCTTGTTTTCATCATTTAAAATTCATAATTCCCCCTATTCCATATTTTTCATAATAACCGTTGATCAAACTAATGGAGGGTGTAGATTGATTTGTAAAGCTTATAACGTCATTTTTTGTATTTGATACCTTCTTTCTCTGTCTATGTATATATATACACGCATAATCATTTATAAACACAATAAATCGTACAAAGTTAAAAACCAATTTTCACAAGCCGTTTCACATATGAAACAACACGTGCTAAAATGCAATATACAATGTCCACCACAACAAATTTGGGTTAACAGATGCCAAAGATTGTCAAGTGTTGATCGCTTTATAAGACTTAATTAATAGGATCAAAAACTAAAACTATCTAATGGCGTCGTAACAAGTTTTGTAGAACGTTTTTATATAAAAATCATGCCGATTTAGCCATTTATAGAATACTATTTGAAAAAATGTCTTATAACAAGATGGGTTTCTAGTACACTTTTCAGAAGTATACGATAAAATAGCTGATGTGACTTATTGTTTTAAAAGTGTCACGGAAAACTTGTTAATACATCAAAAAACATCTTATAAACTTATTATAACACGTTTAGATAGGACGTTTTTTTTGTCATATAAATTAAGTCTTATAAAATTGTCTATTTAGGAGGCTATTGTAGGCGTCCTATAAATCCAGTTTTATTGTAGTCATGTGTGAAACGTTCAAGATTGTTGTATGTGTGGAACAAAACAGTCCTGAACGTTTTACATATAAAACAACACTGTATAAACACCACATTTTTCACACGTATTGATTCATATATAAGAACGAACATACAAAAAGTTGTTCGTCAGTTTATATGAATATATATATATATATTAAGAATATTATATACATAAATTTATAAGGGAAAATCACAAAACGTAGGATGACGAAAATATCCCTATTCTAATGTGAGTTTAGTGTTAAAAGATCCCCTCCATAACAAAAATAAACCACGGATACCTAATCCATAAAAGAAAAGGACCCAATCCAAAATTTTCATATAAACACAGGGAAGATATATTTAATTTTCTCTTGTTAAAATGCGAATAAAAACTAGAAGAGAACATCTCTGAACATGTCTTGATCTGCTTTCATATGATCCACTTTAGCAACGGTAAGTTATCCAATCTGGTGAAGGGCAATGCAGCGAATGCACCGCATGACGTTGGCTTTGCAACGGTTAGGGAGACACGAAAAAGGCCATCCGAAAAGAAGCTGTGTGACTTGAAATCATTCACACCAAAGAACAACTTTTCGTTCATATCGTTAAGTGCCTAATTAAGCTAAAAGAAACCGAGCAAAGTAGATGCTGATGCTCATGGTTCCTCATTAGGTGTGGTTTGAGCTGCAGATGTACTTGGACCGCTTCTTGGCTTTGCTGGACTATACTTCTTGAACACCCTCCCTTTGTTTTCCTTCCACCATTCTTCAGCCTGCTGCGCCACAAACCTTCGTTTGCTGCATTTTCGATATAACAGAAAATTTGTTAACAACTTTACAGTTTCCACAATTTTCAAGATTAAATCCAATTAACTGAGTCTATGTATACTATACGAACAAATGATGCAGGCAGAATCCAATTTTCAGGTTGCAATCTTTGATATTAATTTGATATTTGAACACAAACCTGCTATGTTTCAACTTAAAAGTTGATAAAAATATTGTAGAGAAAGAACTATTTGCATGTAAACGTAGCTAGAAGAGATATTGTATGCGACTAGAAAGAAGAATATATTATTATAAAGTGGGAGAAATGTATTTATGATTTCATAATGATATGATAATTAAGTAGAGAAAGAAATAGTAATATTCATGTTCATGTAAAACTGAATAAATGTAAGTAAAAGTTCAAGTTCAGTGAAAGTGAAGATGAAGGTAGATGAATGTAGTTGAAGGTAATTATAAGTACATGAATGTAGTTGAAGAAAATTAAATTAGATTAAAAAATCAACTCATCCAAAGGCCCAAAACTGTTTGCACCGTAATTGTTATCCTCACACGATCCCTCGTCTATGAGAAAACACACACACACATTTATATATATATATATAGAGAGAGAGAGAGAGAGTCAGATTTATATGAGAATAGTGATCAAATAAGAGAAAGAAAACCATCAAATCACATGTTATTTCACACTAAAAATCACATGTGATGTTGCACATGATTTAGCCATTTTTGTGTTCTTTTATTTGGTTATCGGTCTCGTTTGAACCTCCCTATATATATTGTATATATATATACTTTAAAGTGCACATAATGTGCATAGTTTTCTGAAGAGACAAAGTATTGTATAGTTTTAGAGAGAATAAATAAGGTTTAGAAAACAGCCAACCCGGCATGAGTACAACTTGCAGGTTGAGCCGAATATTAATTGGTAGACAAATAAAATTTGAGTTGGGTGACTTGTAAATATGAACATGTAAGCCACTTGATGCATAAAATAAAATTTCAAGAACTTAAAAAGGAAAGAAGAGAAGCAAAGAGCTAATCAGGAGTCTGTCGAAGTACCTGAATCTAACTCGCTTGAATATTTTGGTGCCATTTGAAAGTTGGATGACAGTTACATATACACCAGGTTCGAATTGTTCAATTACTTCTTTCTTTTCGTCACCACTCGGATACTTGGGTAATCTTGAGCCACCATCTGTGCTTGTTTGACTTGCAGATTCTGAGTTTTTACCAACATAAGATCCATTATTCTCCAGTGGAGCAACATCAGCGTTCTGTGATCTGTCTTCGGTTCCTTCAACATCTTCACTGTTTTCGATCTTATGATACTTCCTGTTTGCGGCTTCACTAGATATACTAATCTCATTAGGCACATCTGATTGCAAATGAGAACGACTTTGGGTTCTATGAACTGTTCCATGGGTGTGAAGGAAGTCGTCTACTTTAGAATTCAGTGCCTGGAAGGTCTGGTCATCAGATATTTCAGGAGGCAGCTTCTCTGTCAACTCCTTTAACTGACAAAACAGAAACAGAACAAGCTTACTATACCACTCATCTATCGTTGAGAAACAACAGCTTCTCTAAAACTTTGTGTGCCTATGATAGAGATGAGGTAATAGAATTGAAACAATTTAACTAACAGAGAAATGGACGAAGGAAGATTTGATTGAATTTGCAGAAAAGAAAAGAAAACAGCCACTCGTAATCCAGGGAAAATCCCTCTCACTTACATTATCAAGTAAGATCCTCGGTCATCAAAATGGCATACTATAAGCGTCTCTTACCCCGTAAACGGTAACCGGCCAACCGGGTAAAGTCACCATCTTCATGGGTTAAGATTCTTGGTCAGCATACACTCCCAAAAGAAACCATATATGATCCCGTAAGTCCCAAACAACCGAGATCCAAAGTGTAAGTTCAACCACAAACAGTAAATGTGGAAATAATGGGTCTACCAACAAGTATATGACAATCCAAACACAACAAAACCAACCACTAACAAGATCCAAGTGATATAAACCAATATCAAACAAATATAACAAGGGACATGCAAAAGAGACTAAGATTTATGTAATTCCACTACGAGGGAGGTAGTATATGTCCACAAGGGATTTGGAAAGTTTATGTGTGATTTCACTTACAATGATTACATATAGTTTTTCATGTAGATGTAATCAGTCTATACATACCTTCAAAAATGAATTTGTACGTACATAAATGGTCTTCCTAATCACCTATATACTTCGGGGTCATTTATGAGGGGAGGCTTGATCAATAAACACATTGAAAGTGGTAGAAGGGTAGATAGAAAAGAACATTTTAGAACACAACCTTACAAGAATCACTATGGATGGAGGGATATCTAGTTGTCTCAAGCCATTCCCAGCCCCAACAAGCATTCACTGATAGGATTCCTCAAGGCGCCCAAGGTGAAGAGTTTTTTGTCTATTCCTGCTACTACAAGGATGTCAAGGTAGGAACGACACTAAAAGAAAATCAAACTGTCACAATTAAAAAATTTGTCATCCTCGGCAAAATGATATTCAATGAATGTAGCAACTTGTATGTCCCCTGACAAGTCATTAAATGGTTCTGTTGGAGTCACACATGATAAACTCCATCAAACCTGTATATTTATAAAAACCTCCCCTTCCCTCTCTAGAATCGCTCTTTTTAGTGAGAGAATCAAAGGGGTTCTACGTATCTTCACAAGTATTAGAGCCGACATCTAGCACCACCTAGGGACTCGACACACTCTTTTGCCTCTGTTCTTGGGGGCATGCCCCCCCGCCTCCGTGAAGGCCTGTGTTGGAGTCCCATCATAGGCTAGGCACGGTTCATCAAACCTGTATATATATGTATGAGCCTCCCCTCTCTACAAGGGATCTTTAAAGGGTTTCTACTTGTATATAGTTTCTAATTTTCTGTTATACTTTCAATCATTTTGTTCTTGTTTAGATTGTTACTGTCGGTTTTTCTAATTGGTTTATCACTACCTACAGATAAGAAAATCTTGTTTATCTTTTCATTTAGTTGATCCAATTTTGTTTTCCATTTAGTGCACCAAGTACATCATTTTCATAAGAATATTCATGTTTAATTTAGCATTTATTTGTATATATATTAAAGACTATTTATTTAACAACTATTTTATGTTTATACATACTTTAGTCCTAAAGTGGTGAATCGTAACCAGTTTGTTTGCTTCAAGGGTAAAGCAGGTACAATAATGTTAGACCTTTGAGGGTGACACGGCATTACTAGAAAACTACTACAAACCTTAAACTTTTCTACCCTTCTTCCACACTGAAACTCATTGATTACCATCAAGACTTCTGCTAATGAATATTCACATTATTGAATTGAGTTGGTTGTATGGTGGCCAAGAAAACACCTAGCTATTCAGTATTCACACCTTGAAGGACCAGGTCTTGTATGAGCCCACCGAACATATCGACTTTGATGCATATTCATGATATATTGCTAAAGAACCTGCATCAAGACACTACAACAAAATTGGGTTTATAGGACACCAACACTGTTCAAGTGTCCTACTAGATCGCTTCATATAGGGTCTTAAGTTTATATGACCAAACAATAAAGCGTCATATCTAAAAGTGTTGCAATAAGTTTATAGAACACTTTTGGATGTCTTAAAAAGCTTTTTAGGATATTTTCAAAATAAAACGTCGTGTTTTATTGAAAAAATGTCTAATAAAAATAAGTGACGTATAAAAAGATGTGTTTGTACGACACTTCTAAAAAGCGTCCTATAAATAGCTAATACGGTGCTTTATTTTAAAAATGCTTTAAAAAACTTATTAACTAGTTCAAAAATGTCCTATAGACTTATTACAACACTCTTGGATAGAACACTTTATTGTTTGGTCCGAAAGCTCAAGACTTATAAAATGATCTTTTAGGACATTGTCGGCATCCTATAAACCTGAATTTGTAGTAGTGACAAAAAGCCTTTGCGGAAGGCTGGGATCATTTTCATGTGTATCGACTTTGGTATGACTTACTTCTGTGTTAATATGTAGTGGTGTCCCCTAAATAATATATATTGGTATACTTGACGCTAATATATACTGCGATAAACAACCAAAAATTTAAAATAGAACTTTGCTTTGTTTAAGTTTGGCAGAGCAGGAAATGAAAGATTACTTTGCTTCCACCCGTAAGCAAACTGATAGAATAGCACATCATAAAGGACTAAAAATGAGGGAGGATGGGTTAGAAACAGAAAAAGTGAATATAGATACAATGTTAGCAATTACCTGAGATCTGACACCTTTGAAGACATCCACAGCAACTAGACACTTGGTAGTTTCTTTTGATGCTAAGGAAGCAGATTCTTCGGCATGAGTTCGCAATTTTCGAATCTCTAAGTCCTGACGATCAGTCTTTTTCTTTAAAGCTTTCACCTACCATTTAAGAAAACAATGCATAATATGTCAGTGGCAAGACGCAGAAGCAAACGTCAAAGAAAAGAAGCATCAGTACTTGGTTGTGCAACTTGGACACTTCTTGGTTCAAAAGGTCATTTGACTTGTTCAGACCATCAATCACGCCCCTTGAGAACATTGGAGATCCAAAGCATGGAGGACTTGGTCTTCTTGAGTAGGGTGATGCAGGTCTAGAGTTGGCTGCCTGAGGTTGGGGTTGAGAGGGAGGTTGTGGGGGTGGCAGAAACTGTGGCTGGAAGGGAAGTGATGATGTTGTGGCAACATGTCTTGGTGAATTTTGAAGGGCACCGAGTGAACATGGAAATGCAATATCCTTCAATTGCTGAGATGATGGAACTTGTGAAGATCTTACTGAAGAATAAGAACCAGATTTTGGCCCATACATGGCCGACATGATCTCTAGGTATTTCGCTGGTTCTATGTTGGGAGACATCAAAAGCCTAGAAGTCCTCCCTTGTCTATCTATCCTACTGCTATCTAGCGTGGATTGCGTATTAACTCTCCTGTGATAAGTAGATGCGTTGTTATTCCCAACCTCAGCTGACTTCTTAAGTTTTGTATAGCAGGAGTCACAAATACGATGAGGTTTTCCAGGAGTCGGAGCTAGTGCTGCTTTTAGAGCCTTTCTTGAACTACAAGCATGACAATGCACAAGCCCACAATTATAGCAGTTATGTCTCTTCCTAGTGAAACCGAATGCTTGTTTACAACCAGAACAAACTGATTGATCTGCTCCAGATACCCACTTGTGAATGCATATACTTGCAGTATAACTTGCGCCACATGATATGCTTTTAACATGTCTATCTTTCAATGATTCCACTAGTGTTGGAGTTTTGCGATCTTCTGTGTCCCCATGCCCTAGTCTTCCTCTCGCACCCATTCCCCACGTAAATATTTCACTTCTTGATGTCAAAACAGCAACATGGTATGCTCCACATGCAATTTCTTCAACAAATTCACCTACCAACCCATCTTGTACTAAGCAAGGCAACTTTCCATCTGATTGTGGGTTCCCCAGTTGACCATATGCAGGACTACCCATAGAGAAGACATGGCCAGATGTTGTAAGAGCTAAAGTAATGCTATGTCCACACGCTAGTTGATGAAAGTTGTAGTCAATTAGGGCTGATATACAGGTTGGTTGCAAGTAAGTATCCTTATTTCCATGACCCAGTCGATATTTATCACCATCACCCCAAGTGAAGAGCTTTCTGGATGTAGAATGTCCACCATGATGGTTTGTGATCTCTACGATTGCTGCAGTGTGCCATACTCCACATGCAACTTTCGAAGTCTTCAACCCTATTAATGATTGAACTTCCTTTGGATATTTTACACTCTCTCGATCTCCATGCCCTAAAACACCAAACTTTCCATCACCAAATGTAAATAGCTTCCCATCAACAGTTGCCAACGCCGTATGCCAGGTGCTACAAGCAACTGAAATAACTACAAGTCCTTCCAAAGGTCCAGAAACTCTTTTTGGTATCCAGTGGCTGGCATCAGTACCATGACCAAGAATTCCAGCATTATGGGACCCATCTCCCCACGTATATAAATCACCGGCTGTCGATATAGCACATGTATGAAACTCACCACATGCAACGAAATCTACGTTAGTGACTGCTAGAAATTCCACAAGTCGTGGGCGACCAAAGTCTTTTTCAATTCCATGACCAAGCCTACCTCCAGATTCCTTTCCCCAAGTAAAGACCTCCCCTTGCTTGGTTACAAGAGAAAAGTGGCGAACACCACAAGCAATTTGTTGAACATCTATAACTACATTTGATTCTAGGAGTTTAGGAATGGTAACATCACTTTTGGATGACAAAGAATTTACAGATCCATCACTAGAAGTCATGTCAGACCAAACCTCTCCCCAAATAAAAACATCTCCTAACGATTCTATGTCATCATGCCCAGAAGCATGACTTGAACAACTAGGAGTGCTTGAAACACTGATCCTGAAACCATCTGCACTGCTTGTTCTTATTTGCATGTTTGCAGAACCAGATGCTGCATTTGAAAACAGGGAAATTTAGAATGAAGGTGAACTATAAGATGGAAAATATTTGTACCGAAGATGCAGAAATAAGAAAACGGAATACTATAAGCATGCATCTACAACATGTAGCAAAAGAATGTCTAATCTCTAGAATCCAGATCATCATCATATGATTGGCATATAGTCCAGTTACTCCAAAATGTACAACCATTACCTACATATCTAAACTACCAACCAAAGATCCACAAAAAGAAAACACTAAGACGATAAAATTCTCAAGCCAGTTGTAGTGTTCTTCTTGTACTTCTAAGAGCTTTTTTTATTCTAGATAAATCTAAGGCATTTATATTAACTAGGCTGTTTATGATCTTAATGACAATGAAGTAGAACCTGGAAGATTCTTATATATCTTGAGAATTCATGCATCTTGGATCTTTGAAGGCTCCCTATAAACAGATGGAGTCCCTTCTGTTTTAACACATCCAAGATATGTTCAAGTAAAACACAAAGAAAGCCTTACAACATGGGGTGTTTGAGTCTCACCATCAAGACATTTGAGAAGCATCTAGACAGGCTAGACATTGAGGACATCGTTCTTAGTGACTCTTTCAAGGTATGCTGAATTCTTTTAGGTTAACAACTTCAAGAGGAACCCAAGCATGGGGCATTCCATCCATAAGGGAGCTTGTAGGGATCCAAGCTCAACACATGGAGGAGATACTAGCCATGCAAAAACAATTTCAGGACACATTGGACAACACAATATTGTGCAAGAAAGCAATTTCCTACAACACAGTCACAGTCACGAGAATTGCTACAAGGATTGATGTACCGCAGGCCAAGGGAATCATGGCCATAGAATGTGAGAGAGCTTGACAACTTCCTTTGGAGCATAGAAAACGACTTGCAAGCATGAGGCACTTTAAAAGAAGATAATATGGAACAAACTACAGCCCTTTACCTTTAGGGACACAATGGTTGTATGGTGGCATAAATATCAAGGAGAATCAAGTAACCTATGTGACAAACATCGTACTTAGGTCAACTCACAGCTACTTGGACCATAGTCAGGTGTTGGAAAGCATTAATGAGATTAGGAAATGATTGTATTTAAACTGTAAAATGTGTGATAATATATTCTGTAATGAGGAAATCACTAATTGGCGTTAAGAGTGATTTCCTCAATCTTTCCTTTTATTAGGCAGCTGCTAGTTCATATATATACTGTCATTTAAACTGTAAAATGTGTGATCATATATTCTGTAATGAGGAAATCACTAATTGGCATTAAGAGTGATTTCCTCAATCTTTCCTTTTCTTAGGCAGCTGCTAGTTTATATATATTCTGTAGTTTTCGAGATTCAAAAATAAAAAGGAGTGATCTTTCGGTAAGCCTCTTTGTTCATGGTATCAGACCTCAATGGCAGGAGATGATTCACTTCCCAAAACCCCTTGTCTGTCACCTGGTAACGTCTATGCCTATTCCTAACCCTTCACAATACCCATCTCTTGAAAATCCTTCCCTTCGAATTACCCAACACAAACTCAATGGAAGAAACTTTAGAGAGTGGTTCCAATCTGACCACTTAGTGCTTAAGGGTAAAGAGAAGGCTGGATATGTCATCAACGGTACTTCCATGCCCTTGCCTTCTGATACAAAATTCAGCAAATAAGTTGCTAAAAGTTTAATTGGTGTGGCCTGGATAATTAAATCCATGGAGCCCAAACTTGGGCACAGTTACCGATTCTGTAAGACTACTTTTGAGATTTGAAAAGTTGTCCAAAAAATTTACTCGGACATGAAAAATACTTCACGGTGCTTTGAGGTTAGATTGAAACTTTGGAAGCTGAAATGACACACAAATCAGTCATAGAATATCATAACTTCCTGACTCAGTTATGGCAGGAGATGGATTCCTTGAAATCGAATGGCACTGTCCGCCCAATGGAGTTTTGTTCTATGCAACGGTGGAAAAGGAACGCGTGTTTGATTTCCTACAAGGCCTGTACAAAAACGTTGATGAAATTAAGGGGAGGTTATTAGGACAAAAACCTTTTCCTACAATTCAAGAAGTGTTTGTTTCATTACAAAGGAAGAAAGTCAAAAGATGAGTTATGTTACTCAACCCCTCCTGGTCATGCCTCCATACTCAGTTCAACCCTAGCTGCCTTAGCCAAACTTTTGTTTGAAAAATCAGAGAACCAGAAAGAAATGTGAAGAGCAACTATGACGTGACCACCATCGTAGACAAATCATTGCAGGAAACTGCATAAACTCCATCGTAGACAAATCATTGAAGGAAGCCAAGAAATTAAAAGAATCCACTAAAGTCCATTGTAGCAGAACTCTCAATTGACAGCCTAACATTTGACCATATTAAGGCATTGCAAACCATTCTTAACTACAAAAATATCCTAATGGAACCAAAAATACACCTTCCTCTTCAAGTGCAGCAGAGTCTCATCAAGGTAGAGCAGTCAATTCTTTATTTACTTGATTTGAGACACATGTAGACTGGATTATTAATACAGGTGCGTCAAATCCCATGAGTAGTATCTATTTTCTCTATGACCTACACCTACGCCTACTCCACACCTTCAGTCAGTCTAGTTCGTGGTTCGTCCTCAATGAGACATGATCAACGACTACATCAAGGAGAACCAATCACTAATGAACCACATAAGTGTTATTCAAAATAGTTTACAGCTTCCCAAACTGATCAATCATTTGAACCTGAAACCGAGATAAGTCTGTATTTCACAAGTAAAGGCACGAAGATCGGTGATAATCCGAACCTTCCACTTTCCATTAGGGACTTACTCAACAATTGTCTCATGAGTACATGGCTTTTACTGCAAAATACATTCCAAAGGACATTTCGTGGTGCATTTCTTGATCCTAAATGGAAGGAAACTGTTGAAGATGAAATGGGTGTTGTTTAAAGAAGTGATACTTTTGAAATAGTTGATCTTACACAAAGGAATAAAGGTGGTTGAGTGCATATGAATATTCACTATGAAGTTCAAAGCAAATGGAGAAGTGAAAGACGCAAGACGAGACAAGTGCCCCAAAGTATTTTGTTGGTTTTATGTTGGGAGACATTAGATTCCTAGAAGTCCTCCTTTCTCCACCATCTATCTTACTACCATCTAGTCGGGTTTGTGTATAAAATTTCCTACGGTAACTAGATAAGTTACTACTCCCAACCTCAGCTAGATTCTTTAGTTTTGCATAAGAGGGGTCACAAATACATGAGGTTTCCCAAGAGTTGGAACTAGTGCTACTTGTAGAGCCTTTTTTGAACTACAAGCATGACGATGCACAAGCTCATAGTTATAGCAATTATATCTATTTCTAGTGAAACCAAATGCTTGTTTACAACTAGAACAGAACAAATTGATTGATTTGAACTAAATACCCAATTGTGAATGCATATGCTCACAATGTAACATATGCCACATAATATTCTTTAAACATGTTTATTTTAATGGTTCCATGAAAGTTGGAGTTTTGCGATCTTCTACGTCCCCATGCCTAATTCTTCCACTTGCACCCATTCCCCAGGTAAATATTTCACTTCTTGATATCAAAACAACATGGTATGCTCCACATGCAATTTCATCATCAAATTCACCTATCAACCCCTAGAAGACATGGCTAGAAGTCGTAAGCACTAAAGTCATGTTATCTCTACATGCTAGTTGATGAGAGCTGAAGTCGATCAATACAGGTTGGTTGCAAGTAAGTTTCCCTGTTTCCATGACCCAATCAATATTTATCACCATCAACCCACGTGAAGAGCTTTCTGGATGTAGAATGTCTACCATGGTGGTTTGTGATCTCAATGATTGATGCAGTATGTCATACTCCACGCACACCTTTCAATGTCTCAAACCCAATTAATGATTGAACATCCTTTGGATATCTTATACTTTCTCAATCTTCATGCCCTAAAACACCAAACTTTCCATCAGCAAATGTAAATAACGTCCCATCAACAGTTGTGAATGTTGCATGCCAAGTGCTACAAGCAACTGAAAAAATTAGAGTACTACCAAAAGTCCAAAAACTTTTTTTGATATCCGGTGTTTAGCATAAGTTCCATGACCAAGAAGTCCAACATTATGGGACCCATTTTCCCAGGTATATAAACCATTGGGTGCTAATATAGGTCATGTATAAAATTCACCACATGGAACGTAGTCTACAGTAGTGGTTGCCTAAATTCCACAAGTTGTAGGTGAAGTCTTTTTGGATTCTATGACCAAGTCTACCTCCAAGTTCCTCTCCCCATGTAAAATATCACCTTGCTTTCTTACAAGAGAAAAATGGCGAACGCCAAGCAATTTGTTGGACATTGAAATCAATAGTGATTGTATTTCTCTTGTTTCAATACATATACTTATACAAGGTTTGAGGAAATTATAGAGATTTGATTTCTCTAATTTCCTGAAACGTTGTATAAATATATGTATTGGTGGAAGTAAATTGAATCAAGAGAAATACAATCTAAATTGATTTCAGACGTCTATAACTACATTTGACTCTAGAAGCTTAGGAATAGTAACGTTGCTTTTGGATGGGAAAGAATTTACATATCTATCACTAGAAGCCATATTAGACCAAACCTCTCCCCAAACAAAAACGTCTCTTAATGATTCTATGTCATCATGCCCTGAAGCATGACTTAAACAACTTTGAGTACTTGAAACACCAACCCTGAAACCATCTGAACGTACTGCTTGTTTATTGTTTTGTTTGCACTCCCAGATGTTCCATTTAGAACAATGGTGAACTTGAGATATTATGATACATGAAAGAAAAAATGGAGTTTTGTGTTTGGTAGTAAATCCAAGCAACACGCCATCTAGGGTCTCAAAATCAGGCTTTTTTGATTCCTCTGTACTCTTAATAATCTTTGTCAACAAGGCCCGTAGTTTGAGAAACACCTTATCCCGTACTTCAAACGAGTCCATACATTCTATGCTTATTCGCTTGTAGTTTCATCTTTTCTTGA